TTATCTATAGCTGTGTAACAAATTACCTCCAAAAACTTAGCAGCTTAAAATTACAGTGAACATGTATGAGCTCACAGTTTCTGGGAGTCAGGAATCCACGAGCCGTTTGGCCACATGGGTCCAGCCCAAGCTCTCTGACAAGACTGCAGTCAAGTGCAGTCTGAGGGCCTGACCATCGCTTCCAAGATGGCTTCCTCCACGGGTGTTGGCAGGAAGCCTCAGCTCCTTGCCGTGTGCACCTCCTCAGGGTGCTGCTTGAGTGGCCTCGCTATATGACAGCTAACTTCTCCCGGAGTGAGCGGTCCAAGGCGGAGAAAGAAGGCAGCCACACATGCCTTTTTATGAGCCAACCCTTGAAGTTACGTGGTCACTTCAGCCATTGTCTGTCTGTTAGAAGTGAGTCACTAAGCACAACCACCCTCAAAGGGAGGGGAGTTAGGCTCTGCCTTCGGAAGGGAGGAGGATCAAAGAATTGGCAGACATACTTTAAAATCACCAAAGTGAGAATCAGCTGTACTATTTTCCTTTGCTGTGGTTTGGCCAGAAAGACCTTTCTAACCAGCAGAGGTACCCAGGGATGGAGCAGGGTGCCTCAAAGGTGATGTGCCCCCATCCTCAGGGGTGTGTAAGCAGAACAGAACTTGGCAGCTATGATATGGAGGGAATTTTGATATCAGCCGGGGTTTGCAACTCTCAGCTTCAACTAGATAATTCCCAGGGCTCCTGAGTATTCCCAGTTGCCACATCTTCTGGACCACAAAGAAAAGGCCATGATTGGTCCCATCCGATGCACAAAGTGAGCTTCCTGATGCCCATGGCGCCTCTGGCCAGAATGGGGGTCTCAGAGCCACCCACTCAATTCCACCTAAGGTGTGGGTTGGTTGTTCATAAGCCAGCGAATCTGGTCATCTTCTCATCAAGCTGATGATGCTCGGCCACAGGGAAATGAGAGTTGTCATCACTGCTGAAGGGCCCGTCAGCATTTGTACCCTCTTGGCAATTTTAATTCAAAATATGCCTGTCTTTCAACCCAGCCATTCCATGGCCCCATGTCCAGCCTAAAGAGTACGGCTCCCTCCCCTGCAAAGTCTCCACCACACTGCTTGTAACAAGGAACACAGAAGCAAGCTCCATGCCCCTCTGTACCAGGGCATCCCGTGGAGCCTTTTAAAGGAATGCGGTAGTTCTCTGTGTCCTGACTTAGAAAGGTCTCCAGAGGGGCACCTGGGTGGTTCAGTTTGTTAAGTGACTGCCTTCGGCTCAGGTCATGATCCCAGGCTCCTGGGATCGAGCCCCGCATCGGGCTCCCTGCTCCGCGGGAAGCCTGCTTCTCCCTCTCCCACTCCCCCTGCTTGTGTTCTCTCTCTGTCTCTCTCTCCGTCAATTAAATAAATAAATAAATAAATAAAATCTTTAAAAAAAAGAAAGAAAGGTCTCCAGAAAATGGTAAATGAAAAAGGCAAGTTGCAGAACAATGTGTATAATACGAATCCATTTAAAGGAAAAAATTAAAAATAAGAAATCCACACATTTTTATTATATACTTCATAGGAAAAAATCCAGAGAAACACACTCTGGTGGCCTGGTACTTACTCTGTAGAAAGTGGGTAGGATTGGGATTAGGGATGTGAAGGGAAACTCTCTGACTTTACTCATCTGCTTTAGTATCATTTGAATTTTTAGTAATAAGATATTTATTCACATGTGATTGATTTAATTCTTAAGCACATCTGAAGGAAGGGGGATCAGAGTTCTTCCCCAGCCCTGTCCCCAGCTCTGCTGCCACAGTCTGCTAGGGCCAGTCCTGGCATGACCCACCCTTGGGTTCTGCCAAGGGAGCTCCCAACTGCCCCTCACCCACTGTCCTGACTTTTTCTTATGCCATCCAAGCAAGCCATTCATGGTTTCACAGAATGCAGGTCCCAGAGGCCTGCAAGGTCCCAGAGCCTAAGCCTTCTCCCTTCGTAATGACATCTAGGAGACTCACAAGACACTATCTATACCCTCTGTCCACATATCTCCAGGGACAGGCAGCCACGACCTTCCCAGGCAGTTCCTTCCACACGCAGAAATTATTAACGGTGAGATCACAATCCTGCAAGCTGAGCCAAACTCCATCTGCCCAGAGCCCCTCTTAGCAGCTCTACCTCTGCCTTCGGAGCTCTCTCAAAGGCACCCAAGTTAGGCGAGAACTAGCAAACTCTGGAGTGAACCTCCTGTGTTCAAATCCTGGTTCTGTAACCAACTAGCTCTGTGATTTGGGGGACATTTGTTAATACCTCTGTTCTTCATGGACCTCGCCTGTAAGATGAAAGTTATAATAAAAGTACATATTCCACAGGTTTATAGGGAGGAGAAAATGAGTTCATTGTGAAATTGTGATCACTTGTGATGCTTATGGCGTCGCCTGGTACACAATGATCACTACATCACAAAACAAGAGACCAGAGTTTTGGTCCTGGCAGGGACCCCATGGCCTCTTTTTTTCATCGGTGAGAATGATTGAGGCCCCGAAGAGGGATAGCCTGAGAATGAGGCAAGTATGATACTTCTTAAGATGTGTGCACATTTCCTATTTTACTCTTTAATGTAAAAATAATGATTTTGCTCAAAGATTAACACTCCGGGAAGACTGGCCATGATTATGTAGTAGAATCCTGTATTTTCTCCAGGCATGACCCAGACACATCTGCACGTATCCCAGGCATATTGGATGCCTGTTTGAGAATGTGGGTCTAGAGGATCCTCTGAGGTCCTTCCAGTGTCAGGTCAAAGTCAAGCCCTGGCTCTGGCATTAAGTGGAGGGAGCACGTTCCAACTTCCCTCTATACATGGGTTCAGTTTACTCATCTCTTAAGACGACAGAGGGGCCAGTCCCTGCCTGTGCTGCCTCCCCAGGGATGTAGGGAGGTTGGATGGGGGCAGTTTGCACGGAAGTGCTTTGTGCTCTGGACCGAGTGGCATGAAGTGTCAGCTTGGCAGAAACAGCCCTCACAGAGGCTGGCAGCCCCTCCACTCAGGGGAGACTGGAGTTTTCTGAGATTAGCCCATCCTGAGTTCTGGCAGAGCTTTCCCAGAAAGCAGCCTCAAGGAGAGGCCAGGCTTCCTGATAAGTGGGGTGGGCAGGGGACCTTCCAGTTCCTTCTTGGGCTGTTATATGGTCTCTATACTACCTGCCAGGCCAAGTGGGCCAGAGCCCAGGGCTGTGCTGAGTCTTCTGAGGACAGGCCTGAGCTCTTCCCAGCTCTTTCAGGAGCCATGACAAATGGGCAATGGAACTTTACCAGTGTCACTCTACCTGCCCGGCTTGGTGTTCCCAGCCCCATTTGAACTCAGACAGGCTCTGGTGAACTCAATACCTGGGAGGAGTTCTCCATCAAGAGTCTCAACTGAGATCCATGCTTGTCCTTTTGGATGGTGGGCTAATGTATCTTCTCAGCCCTCCCGTGTTGTTGTGCATCAAGCATGTTCCTCCTTCCTCCATTCAGTTCCTTGACCTTGACCTGGAGGTACCGGGTACTATGTTCTATCCAAGGGCTCACAGTCTAGGCGAGCACCATCGAATAGAATCTTCTGTGATGATGGGAATGTTATACATCTGCACTGACCTAATTGCACAATTGAAATGTGGCCAGTGAGACTAAGGAACTGAATTTTAAATTTTATTTATTTAATTATTTAGATTTAAAAATTTTTTAATCCGATTAAAAAACGGGCAGAGGATCTGAATAGACATTTTTCCAAAGAAGACATCCAGATGGCCAACAAGTACATGAAAGGATGTTCAACACCACTGATCATCAGGGAAATGCAAATCAAAACACAATGAGATATCACCTCACACCTGTCACAATGACTAAAATAAAAAGGACACGAAATAACAGTGTTGGTGAGAATGTGGAGAAAAGGAGACCCTTGTGCACTACTGGTGAGAATGTAAATTGGTGAAGCCACCATGGAAAACAGTATGGAAGTTCCTCAAAAAATTAAAAATAAAACTGCCATATGATCGAGCAATCCCACTTCTGGGTATTTATCTGAAGAAAATAAAAACATTATTTCGAAAAGATATTTGCACCCCCATGTTCATTGCAGCATTTTTTACAATAGCCAAGACTTGGAAACAACTTGAGTTCCCACCAATGGATGTATGAATAAAGAAGACACACACACACACACACACACACACACAGAAATACTACTCAGTCATAAAAAAGAAGGAAATCTTGCTATGTGCAATGACAGGGATAGAACTCCGGGGCAATATGCTAAGTGAAATAAGTCAGACAGAGAAAGACAAATACCTATGATCTCACTTATATGTGGAACCTAAACAAAAACAGAAAACAACCAAGCTCATAGATACAGAGAACAGATTAGTGGTTGCCAGAGGTGAGGGGTGAGTGAGATGGGCAAAGGGGGCCTTGTTGTCCTGGCTGGGACCCCCAGGACAGTATTGGTGAAAGTGAACATTCTTGTTTTGTTCCTGCCCTTGGGGGGAACGTCTTTAAGCCTTGATATGATGTTAGCGTGCTCTCCATGTCTTTTCAAATCTCCTTAAGCTTATGTTTATTTTGTGTTATCTTATTATACATGGTAACAGAAAACTCAAACAATAAGATACAAAGAAGAAAACAAAAACTCTCCTAAAATCCCACCACCACCAGGACACTTGCAGGCCTTTTCTAGGCATTAGGCATATATATGTGTCTGGAAGATACATGTGACTTTGCTTAAATATGACCTGTTTTGTTACTGGGCTTTTTTTCTCCATATTGTTTTGTGGTCATCGTTCTGGGCCTGGGACCAAAGATTTGCATCATCATCTGACAGCTATCATTTTCTCTTGTAAAGCTCAGCTATCATTTACTTGAGCAACCCTCTCTGGATGAAGTTGCCTCTCTTTTTGCCTAGTATTATAAACAAGACTGATGAAATCCTCATCGTATCCTTCCCAACACTATACTGTAAGGTTTTCCTTTTCTTTTGTTTTCTTTCAGTCTTTGTCACTAGAGGTCTTGGGGTACGGAACTAACATGATCAGAGGGAGGGAGGCTTTAGAAAACAAACTCTGGGCATTCCCAACTTACTGTGTGACCTTAGGCCAATCTTTTTCCCTCTCTGGGCCCCGACTTCTTCATTTGTAAATTGAAGGGATTCATCTAAGTGCCTGGTTCCCAGACCTGGCTGTACACGGACATCACCTGGGAGTTTGAAAAACCACAGACACCTGAGTCTTATTCCCGGAGATTCTGATTTAATTAGTACGGAGTAGAGCCTAGGGAGTAGGATTTTTCATTTCCTTGAGACTTGTTCATTTGAAGATCCCTCCTGCTCGAGTTTTCTCGTAAAGATCTGTTCTTGGCGTCCATCAGGGCCTGGGTTTGAATCCCAGCTCATTCACTCCTGGTTGTATGACCTTTTCCCTTCTCCAGACTTCCAATTCCCGGTTCTTGGGGGAAGGGGGGAGTGGCTAAAATCCCCGCCCACCACGCAGGGTTTCTGCGCGTAGAGAAGATGAGCTCCTGCACAGAGGGGATGAGTGGTGACTACTGTTCTTTTCTTCATCAAAGAGCCAGCCTCTGGGCAACAAAGTGGAAATGGAGATTGTGAGCATGTTGGAAAAGAACGCAACGCTTCTCAAATTCGGCTACCACTTTACCCAGCAGGGGCCCCGGCTGCGGGCGTCCAACGCGATGATGAACAACAACGACCTTGGTGAGTATCCTGGGCTACCTGCCCCCCTGCCTGTCGTTTTCTCACCAGTCCTGCGGGCGCGGTGCGGTGTGGCAGGGAATATTCCACTGATACCTACGCCAAGGGAGTCATCTTCTTGAGTCCGACTCCTGACTTTCACGTTGGTCCCAATTCCTCGGCTTCTGTATTGGCTCCTGGCTTGCCGCCTCGCCTGGTGCGCGCCGCGTCTGCGCGAGCTGAGGCTGAGCGCGCTCCTCTCCGCAAGCTCGGCGCGCGCAGGGCTGGAGCCCCGTCGCGCCGGCCGCGCCCTCTTCCGCAGAGTGAAAGGAAATGTGGCAGAGCACGGGCCCCTGGGAGTCTTTTCCTCTTTGAATACCCTTCTCTGCGCTCAGAGTCCTCTCCCCGGACTTTACGGGGGTCTGGCTCTAGTCCCAGCCCGCAAAGCCACCGACCAGCACTACTACCCAAACCCCACGCCCAGGAGACTTCACAGGGCTTTCAAGGTGAAAGTTGAAAATGTTGACTTCATAGAAGGTTAAGCAGGTTGCTTTAATTTCATCTCAGTTAAAGGCATAGCTTATATTTTTTTCTAAAAAGGAAACGAAAGAAAATGTCACCATCTGTTTTTGTTGTTGTTTTTTCTGAGTGCCAACAAAATAGGTATGCAAGTCAGCCGAATGAAAAGTGAGACTGATCATTGACTTACAGGTACCTATTGTTTTCAAGCTCTGTGAGTATTTATGATGTGTATCTCTGCTGGCTGCTAAAAGGATTTGATACAGTGTCCAAAAAGGACTATGCTAAGGCTGTAGGGAAATAGGAGGAAAAAGAACAAGAAAAGAAGTAGGTCTAATATGTTAACATAATTGATCATTATATTTAGCTGTGAATTTTCTAGAACCAAGGCAAGAAGATGAACCAAGTTACAATACTCTTATTACAGAAGAGAAGGAAGCATAACAAGCTCAGAAAGAGGGAAAAAAAAGAAAAAGGAAAGAGAGCTTCTTTCTGGGATTGAATTATGAAATAACTATGTTTTCTAAAGGACAGTGTCTTCAGTGAGCTTTTCATCAAATTCAAGCCTGTTCTACACGTGGGGTTTTTGGTTTTTTTGTTTCTAACACTCAGTAAAATGCAAAGGGCTTAATACTAAAGCACATCTCAAAGTTCAGGTATGTCACTTTCTAGTGATGAATCGGAGGCTAGGTTATTACCTGGAAGGCCCAGAAGAATAGAGGGGAGTGTGTAGGTGTGTATGCACAAAGCGGGTACTCACAGAACCTATGCACAGATAACCACAGAGCTACACACACACACACACACTCACTCACTCACTCACTCACTCACTCACTTTAAATTGAGTTACTCAATTCAACAAGTACTTGTCCAAGTCCTGTAGGGCATTGAGTGTTGAAGATACAGGTTCCTGCTCTTGAGGATATCACAGTCCAGAAGTTATTCATTCATTGCTCACTCTAGGTGCCACTTTTTCTAGAGCTGCAGGTCTAGAAAAATCCATAAAACAAAGAAACAAAAATGCACCTAGTATCCTGGTTTATCTCACGTGCCCTTATTTGAAATAAGCACAAACACAAATAATTACAGATCACTATCATGGTATCACAGAGGTGATGGCTACACCGAGCTGTGGAGGAAGGCCAGCAATCTGAAGGCTCTTGGCTTGGCTGGGATCCGGCTTCAGAGCCAGCACTCCAAAGCCCTGAGTTCTATTCTGATATGCCACATATTCCCCTCCCAGTTTAGGTTGAGCTTCTACTGTGCCCCTGGCTGCCTATCCCAGGGCTAACCCAGCTTTTGTCTTTCAGTGGCAAAATGGCCTGCAGGCCTTTTCTAGGGACAGAGGTTCCAGATGACCAGAGGTCAGGGGTGCTGCGGTGGTGGAGGGGCACCAGAGTTAGCTGTGGGCTGGATAACCTGGCCCTTGAGGACTCTCCCAGTCCTGAGAGTCTGTGACTCCAAAACCCAGGCTCGACTGCTACCCCCGGCAGCTTCTGAGGTTATGACGGCCGGGTCCTAGAGTGCCAGAGTAGAAGGGCCTTCAGACTCACCCCCCCAGTTCCCTTTTGGGAAAACTGAAGCCTTGGGGGGGACCGCCCTTCTAGGGAGCGGCTCAGCCAAGTCCCACCCACTGTTAGTTACAACAGCATTTTGGGAGCAACTTCGGTGTGCCCAGGACTGTGCCAGGGGACATAAAGGGCAGCAGAAAGGCTAGTTCCTTGACTCCAGAGCCATTACAACCTTTTAGGAGAGAAAAGACTCAAGGGTGTGCCTAAAAACAAGAATGCCTGCAAAGGGTGCCCAAACAATGTGAGGAAATGACTTGAGAGGACAGAGGCTGGTTAAGCAAAGCGTCCCTGTTGGGGGTGGGCCTTTAGCCAGCCTTGCAGGGAAGACAGAGATTGTGGGGGAGGTCAGGAGGTGTTCTTGGTGGGGGTACTAGCACACAGGGAAAGGCAAGTGGGGAGGACCTAGTATTTCAGGTAGGAGAGACAGAAAGATCCAAAAGGACTGAGGGGACTATTATAGGGAGTTAGACCTAGAAGGAAAAATAGGAACTCACAGAGAATGGAGGGAAGGGCATTCCAAGCAGAAGGAACAGCATGGGCAAAGGCAGGACCAGGAGTTTGGTGATGAAAGCAGGTAGGAGGTAAGATGGCAGTTTCCTGGACAGGACTGCCAGGTGATCAAAATGGGCCTTGGGGTTAGCCCAGGGGACTGTTCCCTTGGGGTCTCCCACCAAAGGAATTAGAGCAGAATCGCTTAAGTGATTACATGCAACACTGAGTGCTGGTGGGTGAAGTAGAATTTCTAGCTTTAAAGGCCAATTTGTGCCCATCTGCTAATTTTTGTAAAAGAAAACCTTCTGATTCAGATAGTGCACCAGCTTCCTCCTGCAAAAGAGAAGTCCTTTCTTTCCAACACAGTATTTTCATCCCGCTCTCAGGGCTCTGATGAGGCAGACAGGCTTCCATGCTTTCCAGCTGAATATTTTTATCCCGAGAGCCTCCCGCAGGCCGTCCCTAGCCACTGTGGTGGTGGTTAGCAGGTTAGCAGTGTTCGCGGCTGCATCCCCAGCGGCAGGGAGCACAGAGCGGACAGGGCCCAGCCTCTCCAGCGTGCGGACTCACTCCAGCCTGCGCCGGGCTGGCTCCTGGCACGCAGCCGGCCTCGGGGGTGGGTTTTGCCTGCCTGCAGGGTGGGTGGGCTCTTCCTTGGGGGATGTTCGATCCCCAAGGTCGGAGGTCGGCTAGTGCCTCTGCAGACGTGCAGCCTGCCAGGACCCACTCTGGCTGGCGTGTCTTCGGCCCTTCCCATCCTGTGCACTGAGCGGCTAGCTGCACCGTGGTGTTGGGGAGGAGCCATGGGTCCCCATCTGTGTTATCTCACAGCGATACCTCAGATGACTCCTACCTCTACACTATTTATAGCTGAGAGGCTAAGCATGGCTCTCAGGTCCTGTAAATCTGCCCCTGAAGCTCTCTCCACTTAATGAAATCTGAATCACCAACTCCTAAGTTAAGATTGTTGTAGGTGTGGAGGTGGGGTGGGGAAGAGGGCGGCTGACATGTTTCAAAGCCGAAAACACCCCTTCCTGGAAAAGTCTCTCTTCTACTGTATTCTCAAGGAAGACTTTTCTAACAAGCACCCAGACACCGTGCACCCCAAATCAATTTCCTCATCGTCCCCCAAAACCTTGTCAGGAAAGGGTATTACTTTCCTCATGGCCATCCAAGCCTGAAATCTGCCCCCACCCCAGCCATCAGTCCCCTCCTGGCCATCCCCTGCCTCATGTCAAGCCCTCAGCACGTTCGCCTCCTGTCCTGCAACTTCTGTGGGCCGGCCAGCATCTCTCAGACTGCCCATCCCAAAGTTTGTTCTGTCACTTTGCTTAGTACCCTTGCGGGGCTCGCACTGCTCTCAGGTGAGAGCCCTCAACATGGCTCCACGTCCCTCAGTAATCAAAGCCGATGCGTACATGGAGCTTCCTGGGTGTCAGGCGCGGCTGTGAACACCTCCCGTCTTACTTATTCACGTGAGGCTCCCAACAACCGGGTGAGTTAGATCCTATTATTACCCCCACTCTACAGGACGTGGAGGTCCAGAGAAGTAGGTAAGGTTACCGGTAGTCAGTGAGTGGAAGTGGGGTTTGAGCTGCAGTCTCACCTCAGAGCCTGTGCCCCCCGTGTCCCCCTTCCCCTCCCGGGGTGATGCCGTGCTGGACAAGCCATCCTCTTATTCCGTATTAGCACCAACCGGTCCGGGGAGCTTGAATGCCAAAGTATCCCTGTAGGGGGCCACTACTCCTAACCCTCCCCTTCCCTTCTCAGTCTGCCCCTTTATCCCTCCGGATTCGCGGCACACGTTCCCTGCCGTCCTTCTCACCACAGCATTCATTATGCCTCCTACTCCCAGAGCTACCAGGGTACCTATAATATTTTATCAAACTCACTGCTGGTATAGCTTGGTGCCCTGTTATGCTAGATCTTTATTTCTGATCCTTGTGCTTGGCACATAATAGCACTCAGTAAATGAACACATAAATGAATTTAAAATGCTTCCCAAAGACCTGATGGAGGTGTTCGAGCTTGGCAGGAAGTAGCGGAAGGAGCTTGAGCAGCGGGTAGAGGTTGGTCTGGATGACTGGAGATGCCTTCTGGCTCAGTGAACAAGTCTGGCAGTTGCAGTGATAAGGGTTTTGCTTTAAGGGAAGTAAAAAGCAGACTGAATTGAAGGAAGATGTTAGGAGACTTGGCTTCTCCTTCCGATTCCGTCACTTATTCACCGTGACTTGGGCCAACTTACTTCCCTCTCTTGGCCTCAATTTCCTTCATCATGAAAATGGAGAATAATACCTAAGCAAGTGCATGCCTTGCCCTTGTCCCCATCCAGTCCCCGTCAGAGCCAGCGCTAGGGGAGCTGCACCGCTCCTGCCCAGGGAAACCAAAGAGGGCATGGAATGGGGCGGGGGGGGGTGTGCGTGTGTGTGTGTGCCTGGGATCCCTGTCTACACCCTGAGCCATGGGCTGGGGACTCAGGTTCCCGTCCTGATTCTGCCACTAGCTCTTAGGGGCTCTAGCTCCCTTTTGTTCTCCAGGGGAAAGGAGCTGATACCCTTGCGAGAATCAGCTGTGTAGGCCCTATGTAGCCAGGCCCTATGAGGGACATGCTGGACTGAGGCTCCAGATGAGCTACAACCCTGGTTCTGTCTAGTACCAGCTTTATTGCTTCAGGAACGAAATGCCATACTTTGCTGCTCCCTAACATGGGAAAGATAACAACGCGGACATTCCAGAATTGGTGGTGGGGCTTCGATGAGGTCTTGGGTGTAAAAGAAGTGTAATGAGGACTGCCCCACGGGGCATGCTTGCATAAGCTAACGTGGTGATACTTAAGCGTCTGGCTTAGGTAAACTCTCTGGTCACGTTAGGCGAAACTTTTCTGCTCTTTGGGTTTTGGTTTTTGTTCCCTGACCTTTTCTCCCAAGCTACTGGACATTCTGATGGTGTCCAGGGCCTGGCTGCACGCAGTGTCTTCTCTCCAGGAAGACAGTCCACCGATTTGAATTCATTATTCTCTGACAGGGGCGGAGGGGTGGGAAGGAGCTCAACCCAAACTGGGTGAGCTGTGGGCCCCGGCTCCCAGCCACAACTCGAGCACCACTCCTTCCTGGGTGGTTCTGCTCTGCATGCTCGGTGTCCCGCACAAGCGGACTGGGTTCTGGTTGCAGCTCGTATGCAGTGATCTGGTGGCCGCAGGTCTACGGGCTCAGCTCGGAAACTGGAAGACCTAAGTCTAGAC